TTGTTGTTGTGGTTGTTGTTCTTGTTCTTGTTGTTGTTGTTGTTGTTGTCGTTGTTGTTGTTGATTGCTGTTTGTTGTTGTCTGTTTCTGTTTGTTGTTGTGGTTGTGGTTGTGGAGGTGGTCGTGGTTGTGGTTTTGGTGTTGGTGCTGGCGGTTCTGGTGCTGGTGCTGGTGCTGGTGGCGGCTGGGTGGGGGGTGGGGGATGGAGGAACATCGTTATGACCCTGGTCGTCATCGTCAGCATCATCGTGATTATCAACATCATAAACACGCCATCAGAATCTTTAGCACTTATTCTCAACACCACCGGCATCACCATCATCATGGTCCTGGTAGCTGCCATCACTGGGGCATGCCGTTCCGCATCACCGCTGTCTTGTCATGGTCAGCGCATCGCTCACAGGATCAAAATTTGCATGTACATCTTCACAGGTTATCACATATCTTCACCCTGTGCCACCTCCAATACAATCGCATGTGCTCCACATTTCCACCATAGCATCACCATCAACGCCATCCTTGTCGCCTGCACCGTCATGAGTCATCAGCAGTGCCGTCATGTGTCGGCATCGTCATCATCTCCAACTTCTTAAACTCATTCTCCTCCGTCCTAACATTACAGCTTTGCCATGGCATCAAGGCCATCATCGCACGTTCGCCGCCACTATGTCCACAGCCAAACACATGATCGTGAGACATGTTCCGACTTTCCTGCCCCCGCCAAGGAGACAAATTGGACCGCTTCCTGGAGCCTTGACCGCCCAAGCTTTGGGAATGCCAGTGGTGTTGGTGAGTTGTTTTGGTACATCATTTTATCGAGTCGCTACTCGGGTGCCGAAGTCCAAAAGGCAGGACTTTGGTTCCGAGCCGTTCATCATGGCATTGCCTGCATTGTGCAAGTCTCGTGTTCAGCACTGTCGATAAGGCGCTGGCTGGTTTCCATGTTGGGTTCACGTTGCCACTATCCTCACCGGCACTTGCTTTTGTCCAGATAATTATCGCCTTCGTTTTGCCGTTCTGCTGATTGCGACGTGAAGCATTGTTATCAGCTTCGATTATGGTTACTATTGAGCATACCGATAAGTCCTACGGTTAGCAGTTCGCATCATTATGGTCACTGGTTACTTCGCAACTACGGCAGTTCTAGTTGTCGTCGTTGTCGTTGGAGACAGGCAGCATGAATTCTCAGGTTCATCATCTTGCTCAGGAACATCATATCTTATCCCCAGTCCAAAAGCAGTAGCGGTACAAGCTAGGTGGATTCCTACCAACAGTCTTGCCACCCGCACGTTGTTTCGCGCCGGTTCCTTCCTGTTACCATGACTCAGATTGTCGCCACATGCCGAGAACATGGCAAGAGACACACTCTGTAACACTTGAACTCCCTGTCTATAGCCAACTCCTGCTCCCTGCCCCACCTGTGGGTGCATGCCATGTTCATTTGGGATGAAAGCTTACGTGCAAGCCGCGTGCATCTGAACATACATGTGATGGGTGGTTACTGTGGTTACTACATTGGCTCAATATACATGCACGATCATGCACGCATTTAGCAGGGAAGCAAGGTGCTTGTACGTATAGCAGCATGCACACATACGATTGTTCCCTGTTCACATAACAGATAGCTAGGTCGGTATAGATTCCGTATGCTCGTTGCTAGTTTATTTGAAGCACTTGCTTTATTTGCTGTGATGCAATCTTGTGTGTGCGCATACTCAAATGTCGTTCAGTCCCTTCGTCTTGCCGCGCAAAATGTTATCAACGTACGAAGGTGTAGTAACCACACGGACAGATTTGCAAATTATGTCCTGAGTGTGTCTACTAGACATTGTACGTACAGCATGAGACTGTTCAACCCCATTACAGCAGTATCACGTCAATGGAACCCCGCCTCCCGCCCTGCTTCGGACCCTGACTTAGCGCTGCTCGCCTCTACAAGTTGAAGGGATTGTTGTGCAAGCCGGACCTCGCATCTCAGGCCTACATACCTGACGATGTGGTGAACAAGGCTCGCAAGCGCGTGGAAGACGAGCATCCTGACTGCATGCGCTCAGTCAGTTGGTTTCTTGCATGCACGTCTCTGGAGGCTTCGGATCTGAATGGTGTTGTTGGTAGGTGTCTGCTACAGACTCTTGTCAAGCCAACTCGTAATTGAGATCCATCTCGCAATCGCTTGCGTCCCAGGTTCTATGACGGACACGGCTTGCATGGCTTCTAAGTTCTGGGAATTCGACGGTGTTTCAACAGCAGGTCGATTTTGGTCCGGACGCGACCTTTACGTGAGACCTGGATCAGTAGCATGCCATGCACTTAGGGCGGATGCTTGTTATATCGAGTCAACGACAAGAGAAGCTTGCACAGAATGTTCAACACATCATACGGCCCTGCAACCCAGAAGCATTACACATCAGAGAGTAACGGTTCGATAAGGGGTCCCCGGTCCACTAGACCCGAAATCCCGGCCACGATAAAGTCAGGAGCGGCAGTTAAAGGACCCTGAATACGGGTCGAGGAGGTGGTGCCCGAAGCATCCAACCCGTGCCTTCGACCCCAAGCTTTAACGAGTGATCGTTGTATTAATTAGTACAAGGTTCAAGCACGACCCCCAAACATCAGAGCAGCGCACGGTAAGCCTCTTTCCGCTTAGGAATGCGCTCAACCTGGCAGAGTATGTTGGGGAGGACAGGGCGAATTGGGATAATGGTTTGTATTCGGGGAAGAAATGCCAGGCCGAACGGTTCTAATCCCCAGGCCCATTTAGCTGGTTCTCTGTTTCCAGCATGGAGTCCTTCGAGCTTCTACTGCTTGGCCTGGGTCCTGGGTATGATCACTGAATCACAGACAGGAAAGTCCCATGCACCACTTGCAGTACCACTACAGTCTGCATTAATGACGGTGTACAATGCAAGATGAAGCAACACGCTGCACTAAGTTGCCCACATCCGACAACCTAAAACCTAAAACCCCCTGTGGAACCAGGAGGGTGGCATTCTCAATCCGGTGGTGCTGCCGTTACGGGGCTGAATTGCTGCGGGTATGCACATCCTGCAGCCCAGAGTGGGGATCATCTTAAGGTCAACTCTTGCGGCTGGAGCAGGGATATCCTCACGTGGGATGTGAGTGCATGCAGCATAGCTACACGACATGGAGAGCGCAATACTCAGCCCCAACGAAGACACTATGTGAAGCCTGTTCAGATGTTTATTTTGCACTGTTCCCCGAATTGCACTCGCATGCTGAATTTCGCTGACGAATTGTCAGTTTCTGGTCGTGGCATCATCAGCCCGCGTGTCAGCAGTTGTGAGACGTGCTGACACTGAGAATAGACTATCTTGGCTTGGCTTGGCTTGAACATGCATGACCCTACATTATGCTCCCCATCTCCAACTTCAAGCCCGGTTCTCTAGAGCGGCGTCGGAAATCCATGGCAGCACAAGCGGTGCACTGCGGTTCCAAGGTGGAAGGAGGCCAAGAAGAAGGTCCCTCGATGAGTGCGAGTGCTCACGTGCTGGCGGCCTGCGGGCTCGCCTGATTTGAGCCGGCGGTTTAGGCTGCGGCTTCGGGAAGCGAACGTTTGAAGAGTTGGCGTGGCTTTCTGCTGGCTACCGATTTTGCTTTGGACTGTCTCTGTCGAAGAGCTTATGAATTTTCTGCAAATTTTCGCAGTCCATGAAGGCTCCAGGCACTCAAATCCCCACGCATATCTTAGGCAGCCGGCCCAGCCTCAGTACCATGGGCAGCCCTGGATAGCTGCAATGTACAATGACTCTGTAGAGGCACACTGGACGCGATAATTTCTAAAACGCTTGAGCGACACTTGCCTGCTCTGGGTTGTGGTACCCGGTACTGTAACCCTTCTTCCTCCAAGATTCATGAGAGTCTTGCATCCTGCACGCATCGGTGAGACACTGGCATGCACACACAATAGCCGTAGACAGCGAAGCCGGCCCCGTCATCTGTTGTGGGATGCCGGAGGATTGTAAGAGCTGATGCCTGGATCCTTCGTGGGGTACCTGGGCCACGTGGGACTTGGCACACAACGCATGTAAGATGCCAGCTTGCATGCTCAATTGCGTGGCGTACTGACATGCGGAACAAGCTGTAGTTACATCCCAAAAACCCTCCCAAGCAACAGCATCCGGCGGCCCCAAACCCGGCACCCAACAACCAAAATCCGACATCCTGACACCCTGAGTTGGATGCTCTGCTAGGTCCTAAGGCCTAAGGTCCTAAGGAGTCCGAAGCCCTTAGCTCTTGCGCCGACAGTAATAGTTCTCCAAAGAGCTTCAACGGAGTTTTGGCAGCATCGGGTGGCAAGTCGGCACACGCCCAGAAGAAGGTGAGCCCCTGGTCGGGAGATGCTGGCCAAGCGGAGAAAAGGGCGAGAGCTTCTTTCTTGTCTGCTTTTACCATAAGATACCATAAGCATAGTGGACAGGTGCCCATATAACACATACATATCCATATTCATATGCATATATACATACACACATACACACAAGCATGCATACATACATGCAAAAATACATATACATTATGTATATATACACACACATACACACACACACACACATATATATATATATATATATATACATATATATATATATACCCCCCTTATGGATCTACCGCTGTCGTCTTCGTGAAGCCAAAACCATCTGTAACGCATGTATAAGACGAGGCCGTGGTGGCGTGTACGTGGAGTTGTCTGTCAGATGGTGACGTTGCAGGGACAAGGTGGTGGGAGGCAAGGTTCCAAAAGAAATGCCTTCCCACCTCCCTTCCCACCTGCCTACCCATCTGGCGTGCCGCTACAGACAATCGACGAGGAAGCCAGTATATACAACTGCGTTTATTCACTGCCCATTCCTGTTACAGGCCTCAGTACGCGACACCAAATGTAGGACCAACAGCACAAGGCTTCTGTTCGCAAGCGTAACCGGTTGAACACTCACCACCCTCCCCGACATTAATTATTCAGCTGCACTAATTCTTCTAGTTTGCCTTAGTTGCAGAACATGCTGAACACTCCCACCCTCGCTTGCACTATTTTCAGTTACGCCATTGTTGCACTTATGTGTGCATTTGTTGCAGAACATGGTGCCGTTTTAATTGGCCTGGCAATTTGGGTATATTTGGTTTGTCAAATGGTTAGCATGAAAACACTGAAGGAATTCCCATATTCTTGCCGCCATGATATAGTATTCAGGATGATACAATGTGTAGTCGGTACTCCGCGGGAAAAATTCATGTAGATCAGTCCAGTTGGCTGTCGCTTAAAGTTTGGAAGGTCATCAAACAGTTTTTTGCACAGATCCGCTTCGTCCACAAATCCGGTCTATCTATGTGTATATATATATATATAGACATATATATATATATAGCATACACTGCACAGACTTGGTGAGCTCTGCCGCGAAATCAAAGTCAACGACGCTTGTTCTACCACACTGACCTCGCCATGACATATGAAAGCGGATTAATCTTTATCCGTCATATCTTCGGCACCGTAACGTTATGCTATGAAGCGTTGCACAGTGTCTCTTGGTTGCCACATGTCGTTCCAATAACACCATCGCTTCCTATGCATAACCGGGTACATGCGACAGAATCAGGAAATCTGCTGTTGAGAAGCTGCACCGGTCCAAACCGCAATTCCACCCAGCAAACACATGACAACATACAGTGAACAAGATCGTGTCCAGATTGCACTTTCCAGGCAGTGAAGCAAGATCACCTCCTTTTCGAGCACCAGTATGTATAATTCGTCTCGTATGTCTATGCGCTTGTCAATACTCGGGTCAAGGTTCCAGTCATCAGATGTCCTGCCTTAGCAGCTAGTACTGGAACTTGTACTTGATTTGAAGGCTGGATGCAAGTTCCAACCAAATGCACGATATAAGCCGAATTGCGAACCAAAACTGGCTACACATTGGGATCATAAGGCAATGATGCAAGACAAGGCCTTTCGGATAGAAGCTGCCCACTCACGAAGACATGTCAGCAGTCACATGCTCCTCTGCATCCGTCACACCTTTGTTCTGTCAGCACACGCACGGCTCAGTTTGAGACTCCCCTCGGTGGCCCAGCGCTTCTATGCATGACCGGCTAGATGTGTACCCAAAAGTCATAACGATACAGAGCTATACCAGCCCAACCTCAATATCCACAACAAGCCTAAGTTGCGGAGTTATTTCGAAGGTGATGCTGGCAAACCGGAAGTATGGAGATGTCCACATAACGCCAAACAGTGGAAGGTGAATCCATCGGGACGTTCCTACAATTTTGTTGTCAAGGCGACCTGTGTGTCTGTGTGAAACCGCCGTAATCGTTCTCCGTCATGTTGTAAACCAATCCGATCGAGCAGGTGTTTAGTCTCAACCCGTTTTGGCTGAAGGATCCACCCCAAGACCCTGAATGTCTGAAACCGAATGTCAAGCCGTAACAACACAAGGGGTCATAAATTCTCATACTGTTGCTGCATAATGATGCTAGCGACAATACAGTTTGAACGGGAAACCTTTCCGTTGCTGTAGTGTCCATGGTAACCAGCAATCTTCGGCCGGTCGTAAATGTAGACTTGATCCTTTCGTTCCCGAGGGCCGGATGTGGCCTTGGAGCTGGCGTGGAAGAGCCGAAACATGGACTTCTGCATGCCTTACCTGATCCAGGCTCATGGCAGTGACAGTGCAGTCAAAGTTCAGCTGGCGGTTCGAGTTTCGTGTATTGCTTTCGGGCTCTGCGGCTTCGGGCTAGGGGTTTCTGAGTTCAGCACTTTCAAGATGCAGAGTCTGAGTCTTGCCGTCTTCCTGCAGGTTGGAGTTTTATTCACCAGGTTGCACTTCTAGCGTGTACCTGTTTGAAAACAAAGCTCAAGCACAGCTATCTAGGACCCCTGCAAATCTTGACTTTCAACCCTTGTTCGGATTTTGGATGGGTCTTTCCAGTAAACCGAAGAGGTAGCATTGCAGGATGTGTTTGGGTGCGTGACACGGTCGCAGAAGACAGAAAGCCTCAAGGTCAGGGAAGTTTGCTGACCTCCGACAGTTTTTGCCACAGCCCTGTGTGACTTCAACAGGTGCTCCGGGAGTACACGGACCGCGTTAATGCGCTGGATAAGAAGACGTGCGGCCGGCGTGATTTTGGCATCGGGTTGTGAGGCACAGGATTCAAGTCGCCAACCACTCAATCTGTAGCGAAGCAGCAAGAACAGCCGCCATCACCACCACAATCAAAGACGAAAGAGAGACTGGCAACGATGACACACAATAAACGCTATGTACCTGCCGAGACGCATGTCCTGTCCCCTCTTAAACTCCGAAGCAAGCGCATGCGACGGCCTGCAACAGGGAATGATGTGCGATGGTTGCACACCCGGCAGCCAGCAGTCAGTCGTAACAAAAAGACACAACATGTAGCAATACCAATCAGTGCCAACAGCACACAACACGCATGCTCCTGCAAAGAAACACCAATTCCAGCAGCCTCCGTACCACAACAGCACACGCAACGACAGGATCGTCAGAAGCAAGTTAGAGGCAGATGAGCCACAGCAAAGTACACACATCCTCTGATTTCGTTCCAAGCTTTACAAACGGCTATCACATGATACGTTTGATGAGCTGACGTGAGCCAGCACATGTGATACTGGAGAATGAGTGGACAGTGTTTCAAAAGCGAGCTAGTTTTGGGTCGGACCAATGTATTACGTGGAGACCAGGACCCGCAAAAACAGATTGATCATTTGGAAAAACGGGATGCTGCTATCCTCTTCGGCAATGGGGATCGTGTTTCTGTGGGAAGGGGGTTTCGCTTCTTTCACGCGTCCTTCACTGTTGGTTTCTTTGCTTGATTCTTTGCTTGATGTTGGGTCACTCTGCTTGTTTCACAATAGATAGTGGCGCTCATGTACGGGCTGGACGTGCCTGCTAGCTGACAGGATACACGCTTTAAGGTTATCTTTGCCAAACTTTCAGGTTAAGTGCACGTTCATGAACTGTACCCAGTTCAAGGGCGCAGACCCCGATTCATCAGTTCCTGAGTCCGAAGCCATCCAAATTAGCAGGGTGCACAGCCTGTACCAGGCAGAAGAAGGAGGAAGAGGAGGAGAAGCAGAAGAGCGCAGTGCGCCCAGTGTTCGAGGGTCTGGGAAGCCGTTCCAGGTTTGAACCGGTTTCTGGTTTAGTAGAGCAAGCTTCGCTTCAAGCTTGGAGTGAGCCCAGTGAAGTTTTGACCCTATGTTTGAAATTCTTACCTGAAGAGCTGCCTATAAGCCGTGGGAGATGTTGGTAAAGATTGTGTTCCATAGCTCTTTAGAACTTCCAACCAATAGCCGCAAGCATAAATTGACTCGTAAAGGTTTAACAGCGGCTTGCTTTGCTACTTGTTGTCGTCAAGAGGCTAGAGCAGCCTTGTGCTGCGCTGTTTCTAACTTCACAAGGCCGCTTCGCGAGCGGTGGGGCATCTCATCACCAGGTAATGGTTCGCACTGAATCTGTGGTCACACAGGCGAAACTCTGAACCACCGAGGTCCACCTCTTAAGCCTGAAGCCTAGAGCCAACACTTGCAGTCCAGCCGCGACAGTCTCAAGCCCTAACTGTAAAGTCACGCCGTAGGACTCGATGCTTCTGAAACTCCTCCGTGTGTGCTACACCGACTCTGAGGCTCCGAACGACTATGTGCCTGACTACATGATGCCGCACATGGCCCCAGGACTGCCGGTGTCTCTGGGGCTGCTAGCGGCGCTTGGAGCTAGTAGCAGCGGCTGCTTTTTTCTACAGTCCTCTCCTACTTCCGTGGTCCGGTGCCAAAGCAATTCTGCAACAGCCTCGGATGGGTCCGAAGGTCATGAACTCACGAGGCTTCCTTCGCGAGATCTTTAATGCTAGATGCAAAACAGAACGATCGGCGTAGGCCGAAAACATGTTCTGAACTCTGCAGCATGTTAAGCCGCTTGCGCTGATGCCTGAAAAGCTTGCCTTCTTGGTCGCCCCCTCTCGAAATCCTGCGTGGCTCCAGGCGTCTCTGTTCATCAACACATTGCCGTTGCCTAGAGCGGCAGGGTAAACGACCTCTACACGAGGTCACATTGCACAGACACATTGATTCAACAAGGCTACGTTGGTGCAGACGCATCGGCGGTCGAAGACGCATGGAGGGCGCAGACGCATTGGGAGGCGAAGACGCACTGCGACGACGCATCACGAGGCGAAGACGCGATGGGTAGAGGAGGAGGTGCGAAGACGGTTTGAAAAGCGTGTGGAGAAGGTCCAGGTGGGCGCTGTGCGGAGTTGTACATGGCTTCGTCCCCGAACAGAGTGTGGGGACTGTTTGACGGGCGTCTTTTTAAGTCGGCGCGGGATTCGTAAGATCTCGGATTTCAATGTTACAGGCGCTCCATCGGTGCAATGATCCATCCTCAAACTCGGAGTGCCTCGTTGACAAGAGGTCTGATTTTAAAATCATGGGCGGTCCTCCTTCCTCGCGGTTTAAAGTTAGAGTTTGATTTGAAAATCAGGGGCACCAGATCCGTCCAAGGCTCCATCCTCTGGATTTCAAAACAGTTCTTTTTTCAAAAGAATGGCAGCCCCATCAGTCCCAGGTTTCATCTTCGGATCGGAGTTCCAGGTTGACAAGACTTCGGACTTTGATATATTTGGCACGCAACAGTCCAAGACTCCCATCCTCGGAGTTCAATGTTGGATCCTGTTGCATGCTGGCATCGTGCTGAGGTCCAGGGGCCTCGGGAATAGTACGCATGTGGCTTGACAATCCGGCGTCACGAGCCATTTCGGCGTCGGCGTCACAACCTAGTGTGAAGTCACAGTTCGACATCAGACCCAGTTCGGCGTCAGGAGACAATGCGGCGTCATGACCCATTTCGATGCCGCCCCAATATCGGAGTCAGACATTGTGGCGCCACAATTCGCCGTCGCAAAATCAATGTGGCTTCACGAACTCGGATTCGGTATCAAGTCGTTCACCACCCTCCCTGGCAGGCGCCTTCAATGAACACGTAGAACCCCGTCAAACCCTGAAGCATGCACAGGCAACCTTAAACCCCGTACGTTTTTTTCCTCAGCCCCTCGCTGCCGCGAATCCCGATGTCCTGCAGTTGAGTGAAGATTGAATGCCATGCCCAAGAATCCCAAAACACATTAATGCTTGCCTTGATTCATGATGAACCCCTCGCACCGCAATTGCAAGCCACTCGCCAATCTTCCGAGACTTTCCACCCAAGACCGTACGCATCCCTGAGTTCCCAATGCAAAGACCCGAACACACGGAAATGTGACACGCATCTGAAAGCAAGCGTCCAAAAGCCCGTGCTGTAAAACCTCAACCCGAAGTTGCTAAAAGCTGAACTCACACTACCGGAACATCCAGGCCATTCCAGGCCTAACTTCCTGAAGCCGTTTATCCTGCACCCATACCGTGACAGCCAAGAGTGACAGGGCTCACCGGCTTCGGCAACCTGGCGTTAACGAGCGGTGGCCTTGCCATGTGTTGCTTTGTCTTTGTTCATGATGTTGAGGCATACGTCAGGAATCTCTGTAGGGGTTCAGGGTGGGGAGGACGCCGATTGCGCGACTTAGGGTTTGGGACGTCTCCTGACTGGTTCTTCTTTTGCCGCATTGCCCTTGAGGTTTTGTTCTCGAAAGTTTAATCGTGGTTTTCACGACTGCTTGCTAAAAAGCAGGGCTGAGACCTGGAGCCCCGGATGAATTTGTCAACAAAGTTACACCCGCAAGCCAGAGTCTGCGAACTCGGAGAGCTTAGAGTTCTCTTGGGAAATGTGTCGGCGCTGCAGATGATGAGAACATTCCCCCGCATCGCAGGAAGTCCTGAGCGAAGATGTAGGTCGATAGGATATCTAGATGACACATCAAGAGCATTTTCTCGGTATCTCGTCCATTGCATCACGCAAAGTGTGGGGCAGTGAGCCTTTCCAGGCCATCCGAGGCTCTGGGAGTTCTTATCTATTTGGACCTAGGGCTTTGGTCCGGCTGGGCGTTCAGGGTTTGTTTGCTGTTGTGTCATTGTGCAATAACAGGCAATGTCGAGGCTTGTAGGTCAACGGTTCAGCGCTTCGGCTTTCACTGTGAGCGCGAAGGTGTTTGAACTGTGCACCGTGTCTTGCGCCTTTTTGCCTCCAGGCTTCGAGCTGACGGATTCAGGCTAGACACTCCAACAAGCAGTGTTAAAGCCTGAACCCGCAAATAAAAACCAAAAAGGGCAGAAGCAGCATTAGCATTCTACCGGGATTTCCCTACGTTATTGGGCTTTATTTCAAGGGGTGTATATGGGATAGCCTATCCTAGTTTTTGCTTATGTGCCTTGTTCGAGGCACTGCCAAAGCTAGAGGAAAAGTTTTCAGCCCCCTTATGTCATCAAAACGAACCTAAACCATACACTCCCTGCAATCCAACTCTTGAACAGCCAGGTCCGGCGAATATGCAGCCAATGATGCCCGAATCTCAGAGCCGGGCTTGGTATCTGCGACTATGTGCTGCTGCACAAGATGATGTGCGTGCTGGTGCTGCTGTGGCTGCTGCTGTTGAGTTGCTGTTTCAATTGCTTGCTGTTGCTGCGGCAGATGCTTGTAGTTGCTGTTGCAATTACTTCCGGTTGCTGTCGCTTAGCTCTTGCTCTGGCTGTTGCTGCTGTTGCTGTTCTTCTTGCTATTATTGTTAATATTGTTTGTATTCTTATTATTATTTTGTTTTTGTTATTTTCTTATTATTATTCTCGTTATTTATATTATTGTTGTTGTTGGTGGTGGTGGTTGTTGTGGTTGTTGTGGTTGCTGCGGTTGTTGTTGTTGCTGCTATTGTGGTGGTGGTGGTGGTGCCTGTGGTGGTGGTGGTGGTGGTGCTGCTGCTGCTGCTGCTACTGCTGCTGCTGCTGCTAGTGCTGGTGCTGGTGCTGGTGCTGGTGCTGCTGCTGGTGCTGGTGCTGGTGCTGGTGCTGGTGCTGGTGCTGGTGCTGGTGCTGGTGCGGGTGCTGGTGCGGGTGCGGGTGCCGGTGCCGGTGCTGGTGCTGGTGCTGGTGGTGGTGGTGGTGGTGGTGGTGGTGGTGGGTGGTGGTACTGGTGGTACTGGTGGTGGTGGTGGTGCTATTGGTGGTGGTGGTGGTGGTGGTGGTAGTATTGGTGGTGGTTGTGGTGGTGGTTCTTGTTCTGGTTCTTGTTCTTGTGCTCTTGCTCTTGTTCTTGTTCTTGCTCCTGTTCTTGTTGTTGGTGGTGGTGGTGGTGGTGGCGGTGGTGGAGGTGGTGGAGTTGTTGGTGGTGGTGGTGGTGGCGGTGGTGGTGGCGGTGGTGGAGGTGGTGGAGTTGGTGGTGGTGGTGGTGGTGGTGGTGGTGGTGGTGGTGTTGTTGTTGTTGTTGTTGTTGTTGTTGTTGTTGTTGTTGTTGTTGTTGTTGTTTGTGTTTGTTGTTGTTGTTGTTGTGGTTGTGGTTGTTGG